CTGCGGAGCTGGCAGGAAGGCCCTTCTGCCCAGCAGTGCAGGTGTCAATCTGAAGTCACCTGTTCCCAGACGCCTCTCGTCCCCAGCCTGCCACGTGGCCCCTCTCCTCTCACCCCTGGCATTCTTTCCATCCTAACAGTGATCACTTGGTGGCAGTGTGGTTACGAGTTGGGCTGCTAGTTGCCATGTCAGCAGTTTAAAACCACTAGCCGCTCCACGGGAGGAAGACAGGTCTTTCGACGCCTAAAGAGTGACAGTCTCAGAAAGCCACAGGAGGGGGTTGGGGTTACCTTGCCCCCATAGGGTCACTGTAAGTCAACACTCACTCACCGGAGTGAATTTGGGTCTCAGTGTTGCTTCTCTACGGACTTGTCCAACGTCCACCCCTCTGAAATTCTCAGGGGCCCGCTCTTCTGCCTGCAGCACCCTGTGTTTGAACAGGGTATTTGTTGCCTGTGCCAGGGGTGTGCTGAGTACTTGTTGGGATGGGGTGATGTAAGCCCACCCTCCCCTGTACACGTCCAGCAAGCTGACTATCTGTTTCTCTTTGCAGAAACCGGACCCATGGCGACTCCTGCAGCTGCCTTCCAGGAGCTCATGAATGGAGTGACAAGCTGGGATGTCCCCCAAACGCCCGTGCCCTGCGAACTGCTGCTGATCGGCGAGGCCGCCTTCCCCGTGATGGTGAACGGCCAGGGCCAAGTCCTCATCGCCGCCTCTTCCTACGGTCGGGGCCGCCTGGTGGTGGTGGCCCATGAGGGCTACCTGGTGGCCTCCGGCTTGGCTCCATTCCTGGTAAATGCGGTGCACTGGCTGTGCCTCAGCCCCGGGGCTCCTGTCGGGGTGCACCCATCCCTGGCACCCCTGGTCAGCATCCTTCAGGAGGCTGGGGTCCAGGCCCAGGCCGAGGCAGAACCAGGAGAGGCCGGGGGAGTTTACTGCACCAACGCCTACAGCAGCACCATGGCTGAGACGCTGCTCCGGTTTGTGAAGCGTGGAGCGGGCTTGCTCATCGGGGGCCAGGCCTGGTACTGGGCCACCCAGCACAGCCATGACAAGGTCCTGTCCGAATTCCCTGGGAATCTAGTGACAAGTGTGGCCGGGGTGTACTTCACCGACACGTATGGGGACAAAGGCCGGTTCAAGGTCTCGAAGAAGGTGCCCAAGATCCCTCTCCACAGCAGGTGAGTGAAGGTTGTTCCCCGGATGGGGAGTCAAACTCCAGCTGAGCCAAAGATTGAATGACCACCCCTCCCCCTGCACACATTATGTGGGATGTGGCTCAGCCCTGCCAATGTCCTACCCTAGTTACTTAGGTCCGGTCCCTGGGACATAACCCTGTCACTCTGTCCCTTGCCCTGACCCTGTCCTTTGTCCCTCAGCCCTGCCTCCACCTGCCCAAGCCCTTAGCCCTGAGCTGAGGGTGCCCGGAAGTGCTCCCCACTGTAGAGGTTGGGAGGTGAGGTGACGCACTGGGAGACTTTTGGGTGGATCGGATTCATGCTGGGTTGATTTTATGGGGAACACCAAGGGACTTCCGGATGTCTGATTCCTGTGAACTACCAAATGTGTCCCTCACCAGCCAACAAAGCAGTTCTTCTCCACGCACCACACCGACACCTCCCCCATCTCCGACTTGGGGCATGCGTTGTGTTGGATTTGTTATTGGAACCTTTCACCACGGGGAGTTTCAAACCCAATCAGAAGGACAGAGGCGAGTGTTATGAAGGCCTGGCAGCCGTGCCAACCCCGCCAATAGTCAACACAGACAGTCTGATAGCACAGCCCCTGTAGGACAGGGTAGAACCCCGTGAGTTTCTGAGACGGTAACTGCTTACTGGAATAGAAAGCCTCGTCTTTCTCTCCCGAAACGACTGGTGGTTTCCAACTGCTGACCTTGCAGGTCACAGCCCAACGTGTAACCACTAAGCCACCAGCACAGGGATAGGGTGGGATTGAGACCTGACTCCTCTATTGGAGGATGTGCATCAAGCCAGATGGGTCAGCCTGGCCCCCACTGTGCTTCCAGACCACCTGGGGAAACAGGCCTGGCACTCTCTCCCCGCGTGTTGCCAGTGGAAACTCATCGGATCACTGCGGCGTGGGCTATGGTCCCGTTGTGCCTGGAAAGCGAGCAATCCAGGTTGGAGGGCATTTAAAATATGCAGTGTCTGCCCCACTGGGCAAGGACAAGGTGAGATTTTATTCTGCTGTGCATGGGTGTCCAAGAGTCAGATGCAAGCCCCCTGAAATCCACCATAGGCAAGTGGGTGGCGGACCCAATGCTTAGCTGTAGGAAAACTAGCAGCAACAATGACGGGGTCAAGACAGCCTCACTGCTAAGAAGGTACGGACGCTACACCCATGTCTACAGCTGCACCATTCCACAGCCGCCAGGGGTGGCAGTAACCTTGAGGACGCATCACCAAACAGAAAGGATGGTGGTGTGCGTCTGTGCACTGTGGCACTAACTCGCTGCGCCCGAGTCAGTGATGACTCACGGCCACCCTCTGTGGGTTCTGAGACCGTCCCTGTTGACAGGAGGCCTGTCGGATCACTACAGGCTTAGAATTGCCTGCATGCCAAGGGGCTCGTCCCATAAATGCTCTTGGTAGACCGAGAGGTTTCAAACACTCGTGGACGTGTGTGGGAAACTTCTTAGGCACACATCAGGCACCATCTAAGACAAGGTGAGAATGCCGCCTTCCCGGACGCCCCCAGGAAGAAATAAAGGAATGGTAAGGGCAGGGTTGCTCTCCCCGCTGGGCTCAGCTCTTCGACGCAGGTGGGAAGCAGGACTGGGCTGGACAGCCAGCTGCAGAGCCCACACAGGGACCCTCTCCCCGGCTCGGCCGTGTCCAGGAATGTTTATAAACCCACCTCCGGTCTAGTAAGCTCAGGAGCTGGCCCCCCCATACTGAGTGTTCCCTACCACTACCGAGGCCCTTTACAAAACTGTCTTTGTAAATATGGTTATTGTATTGGGGGAAGACTTATGTAGAGGGTTAGTTCCTTGTCCACAATTTCTGCACCCACTGTGCACTGGAACCGTCTGCAGGACACATGGTCCTGCACGCCTGGGCATTCTGGTGGTGCCTCGTCCTTCCTTTACTGCCCCCGCTGCTCAGCCGTGTCTTCAGGTTGTTGTTGGCTCTTTGGTCGCAGACCGGGGATTGCTTCCCTTCTTTCTGAGGTGACCCGGTTTGTCCTTAAAGACTCCAAGTCCGTCTCACTGCTGCTTGTCCTCCTCTTTTCATAAGCCGCTCCGACTCCCATTCTGGTTCGAGGGACGAGGGATCTGGAGGGATTTTTTTGGTGCGGTGGGGGGAGGGGAAGTGGTTAAAGAAAGATACAGTCTGTATTTACACAGCCCATCCTAAGAAATGACATCAACACCAATCTCTTGTTTGTTTGTTTGTTAATCATTTTATTGGGGACTCTCACAGTTCTTATCCATACATCCATTGTGTCAAGCATGTTTGTACATATGTCGCCATCATCATTTTCAAAACATTTTCTTTCTACTTGAGCCCTTGGTATCAGTTCATGGCCCACACCCCTCACCCTCCCTTTCTTATGAGCCCTTGATAACTTATCTTTTTTATTTTTCATGTCTTACACAGACCACACTCTCACTTCACCCACTTTTCTGTTGTTCGTCCCCCTGGGGGAATGGGGCGTTATATGTTGATCCCCTCTCTCCCCGCACCTTCCCCCTACCCCCCTGGTATCAATATTATTAACAATATCTTGTTAAACCTTCTATCTGTGAGGTTCTTTCCCCGCTCCCAGGTGATTGCTTTCAAAGCAGCACAATTCTCAGGGGGCGGGGAGCAAGGGGAGATCCAGTCAATTAGGGTTGACAAGGCCAATCGACTCAGCACAAGAGCCCTGGTGGAGCAGCGGGTTCAGCATGAGGCTCATACCCAAAGGTCAGTGCTCGGGACCCACCAGATGCTCCGCTGGAAAGAAGCTGTCTGTCTGCTCCCGACAAGATCACCAGCCTCATGCCCTGCCTCGGGCCACTGACTCAGAACTGACTCCAGGGCAAGCAGGTCCTCCACTTTCAAGTCGATTTTGACTCAGAGACCCTACAGGACAGGGAAGAGCGGCCCCATAGAGTGTCCCAGGCTGTAGCTCCTTACTGGATCAGACAGCCTCCTCTTTCTCCTGCAGAGCCATTGGTGGGTTTGAACCACTGGCCTTATAGCTAGCAGCCCAATTTTAACCCAGTGCACCACTAGGGACTTGATAAGATGCAGTATTGAGTGCTAAAACTCAAGTCAACCAAGGCCCCTCTGTCCCGCCTCCCTCCCTCCCTCCAGGTGCAGTGAGGACTTCAGTGGTGACCAGCAAGCACTCCTGGAAGGGCTGTTGGAGCTGGACATCCGGACCGGAGGAGTCCCCTCCCAGCTGCTGGTGCACGGAGCGCTGGCCTTCCCCGTGGGACTGGACCCCAACCTCGGCTGCTTCCTGGCGGCTGCCCACTATGGCCGAGGCCGGGTGGTGCTGGCCGCCCACGAGGGCTTGCTCTGCGCTCCCAAAATGGGGCCCTTCCTGCTCAACGCCATGCGCTGGCTGTCCAGGGACCAGTCGGGCAAGGTGGGGGTGAACACAGATCTGAAGAACCTGTGTCCCCTGCTGTCCGCGGGGGGCCTGGCCTGCAGCCTGGAGTCCCGGCTGTCCGGGGAAATGAGTGTCTATTGCTGTAAAGCCTATGGGGGCCAGGAGCCCCGAGAACTTCAGGAGTTTGTGGCCGAGGGTGGGGGGCTGCTGATTGGGGGTCAGAGCTGGTGGTGGGCCTCCCAGCACCCAGGCCGCTCTGCTCTGGCCAGTTTCCCTGGGAACCTCATCCTCAACACCATGGGTCTCAGCATCATGCCGCAGACCCTCCCACAGGGCTGTTTCCCAACACCCACCCCCAAGACGAGGGGCTACCACTTCCGCAGGGCACTGTCCGCCTTCCAGGAGGCCTCCAGCATGGACAAGAGCTGGCTGGCCCGGCTGGACCTGGATGTTAAGGCTTTTCTGCAGATCCCCGCTGGGGGTACCCCGGCCTACGCCTCCCTGCACCGCCTGCTCCGGAAGATGCTATGCCAGGCCAGCCTCCCAGCCGTGAGCAAAAGCAACCCCGTGGCCAGGGACTCCCGAGAGGCCTCCTTGCTCTGCCTGGCCACGGTGCTGGCCCACTCGGGCACAGACTGCTCCCAGCTGACCCAGGGGCTGGGCAATGGCACTTGCCAGTGTCCGGTGGAGTACCCCATCACCGTGGAAATCAACGGGACCAACCCAGGTGTGTGGGAGCGCAGGGGCCAGGGACCTGCAGCTGGACGGGGCCAGGCAGGTGGCAAGGAGGCCAGCAGTACTCCTCCACAGGGGATGGAGGGGTGAGTCAGGACACTTGGATGAAAGTGGGGGGCGGGGAGAAGCTGTCCTTCTTGGGCACAGGGGGAGAGGGGGCCTCACCAATGTGGGAGCTTAACCTTCTCTTGGTCTCTGGCAGGCAGCGGGGAGTCCTGGCTGAGCACAGGGCTGTACCTCCCAGAAGGACACAGCGTGGAGGTCTCTCTCTCAGAAGCAGCCACGTCTGCCGGCCTGAGGGTAAAGCCAGAGCCACCACCACCACCGCCCGCCCCCACCCCTCCAGCACCTCCCAAAGCCACAAGACTGTATCCTCCTGCGGATGACCTGCTCCAGTACCCAGCAGGGCCACCTGGGCTCCCCAGACCCACCCCCAGGGCGAGGGCCTCGACTCCCAGTGACCCCCAGGTGGGGTCAGCGTAGAGTCAGGGAATGCCAAGCAGTCTTCAAAGACTGGACTTTCGGAAGTAGATCATCGGGCCTTTCTTCTGAGGTACCTGTGGTCAGATCCCCATTGTGTGCCTTCCAAAACCCAAACTCCCTGCCATCGGCCCTTCTGGACTGGGTAGAACTGCCCCTGTGGGTTTCTGAGACAGTCCATGTTGACAGGATTACAAAGCCTCATTTTTCTCCTTTGGAGAAGCTGGTGGTTTTGAACTGCTGTCCTTGTAGTTCACAGCCCAATCTGTGCCTCCAGGGCTCCCACTAGCAGCCGCACTGTTACCAGCAACCAAAGGGGTCCTGGTGGCTCTGTGGATTGGAGGTTCAGCCACTGAGCACAAGGTGGGTGGTTCCAACCGACCAGGAACTCCTCGGGAGAAAGAGGAGGCTGCCTGCTTCCGTAAAGATATACTGACTCAGAAACCCTCTCCAGGCTCGCTAAGTCAGGACCATCCTGATGGCAGCAGACTTGGTTGATGGCGAGCCCAAACCCGCTGTCACCAAGTCAGTTCCATTCCACAGGATGCCGTGGGACAGGGGGGAACGGCTAGCATCCGAACAGGAAGCCCCTAGCACTGTGAGGTGGTGGCATCCTGCCCATGCATGGTTTTACAAACCATGCAGCGAAGTCTCCGAGGACCAAGACCCCAGCCCGGAAGCTGGACTCTGCGAAAGTCAAAACGGACCCCGTCCTCCATCTCCCCGGCCAGGGCACAGCTTCCGCCGTTGCCCCTCTGTCCAGTGAGGACAACAGTCTCTTCAGGCTCACGCCCTCATAGAACCACTGCATGGCTCAGGCCCAGGGCCAGTGCCCAACAAAGGGCCACCTCAACCCTAGTCCCCTCACTCAGACAGCAATCTGGCCCGGACCTGGGGAAGCCCCAGAAACAGCTGGTGGGGACTTGGGGCACTGCCATAAACAGTCCTACTCTCAGTGGAAGGACTGCAGAAGTGAGGTCCCATGATGCACTCTGTCCATGTGCCCTGCACCCACACAGCACAGCCCCCAGGGCCATTCTTGCTGCCTGCTCAGGTGGGTCTCCCTGCAGGTGCAGGTGGGCTGCCATACAGATGACCTGAGCCATGCCACGAAGCTGTGCCGTGCGCCCGTGGTGACCCAGCACTGCTGTGTGGACCAGCCCCAGATCACCATCCCCTGCCTCTGGGGAGGCCTGCTCTATGTCATTGTGCCCAGGGGCAGCTCTCTGGGGCCTGTGCCTATCAACTTCAGAGGGGTTGTGCCAGCCCCTCGCTACAGGCGGGGTGAGTGGGGACCAGGGCTGAGTCGAGGCTCACAGGGATGGGCCCTCCACAGGGCTGAGCTGGCTATGGAGCAGGGGAAGGGCCGGGCTGCGGACAGAAGGAAAATGACCTGTCAGGGCAGAAATGCAGGACTTACTGCCAGGGATGCAAGTTGCCCCGTGACCAGGGATACGGGACAAGCTGTAACCCGGGATACAGGATGCCCTGTGATCAGGGACACAGGACAGCCTGTGACCAGGGGTATTGAACAATGTGTCCCTCGATATGGGACACCCTGTTCTGGGATAGGGATATGGGATACCTTGTGACCAGGGACATGAGCATCTTGTGTCCATGGATATGAAAGGCTTATTTTGAGGGATATGCAACTCTGGCCCTATATATGGGTACCTTGCATTCAGGGATACAGGACACTGTGCCCATGGATAAAGATGCCCTGTGTTCACAGATGTGGGGCACTATGTCCAGGAATACAGGGCCCCATGCATCCAGGGATGTGGGGTGCTCTGTGACCAGGGATGTGAGATGCCCCATGGCCAGGAATACAAGACTCCCTATGATCATAGACATCAGACCTGGTCCAGGGCTGGGAACAGGGTGTGGAGACCAGCTTCACTGCATAGCCCCTTCGTGGTACAATTCCCAGGTCACACTTCGAAGGAGGAGTGGAGGAGGTGCCTTCAGGGGAGCCCTGCACCCTGGGGGGAGCTGGCAACGGACAACATCATCCTAACAGTGCCCACCACAAGCCTGTGCTCCCTGGAGGACCCTGAGCCCCTGCTACGCCTCTGGGATGACATGCTGGCCGCAGTGGCTACGCTGGGCGCCCAGCCCTTCCCCTTCTGCCGGCCAGAGAGGATCGTGGCCGATGTGCAGATCTCCGCAGGTACATGCCTGGGGGGAGGCGCTCTGTCCATGCTGGACATTGCCATTAGGCTTTGCCTTTGCTGGATGCCCAATAGGAGAAAAGCAGTTGTCCTGGGGAAGTGGGAAAAGGAACCAAAGCATGTGTCTACTGCCCGAGGCAGGGGCAACTAAAGGACGCTCAGACACCACTCCGCAAGACATGGCACCTTCCAAGGGCCTGGCAAAAGGGAGGGCGAGAGAGGGGATATGGATGGGAACTTCTTAGAAAGGCCTGGCTCCCTGATCCATTAGGGACTGGTAGTGCCTAGGCCTGGAAACTGCACTCTTCCATTGGACCCGTCAGCCCAACCATGGATAGGTCTGTCCGGGACAATGCCACCCAGGTGGGAACCAGCACAGCACTTTGGCACCGGCTACAATCCAGCTCCCAGGGCAGCATTTCCCCAGACGCAGTAGAAAAGGCAGGAAGCAGGCATGGGAAAGGAAGCTGGCTGGGGCCGAGAACCCAGGGAGGAGGTGGGGCGGGTGCTGTTGCATTGTGGGAATTGCAGTCCGTGGCAGGAAACAAAGATTGCCTGGCTTGTTCCGTGGAAGACGGGTTTGCTCTGCCAAGCTTCACCCAGAGAGCAGTGAAAGAGAGGGAGGGAAAGAGAAGGCAGAAAAGGAGAGAGAGAGAGAGAGACGTTGCTGAGGGTGAAAAGGGACTGGCATGAGAGAAGGGGAGTCTTGCAAACCTGCAAGATGAGATTTCCCAGGGTGGTAGAGCCAGCTAAGCTGCTAGTAATAATAGCATTAACGCTGATAATAAAAGGCTCACAGATGCCAATGAAGGGTTGGAGGGGAGGAGACCTCAGCCAGTGTGGCCCAGGGAGAGAGTGGGAGGAGACTCCGGGAGTGCGTCCATCCGGAGGCCTCCGCTGAGCACAGAGCGGTTTCCAGGGACAAGGAGCATCAGAAAACCATAAGGGACTCGGCTTTCCACGTGGAGGCCTTTGCTCTGGACCCCAGGTGAACAGGGCCAAAGGGAGAGCCCTGCCTGCAGCCCAGCCCCAGGCCGTGGGGGCTCAGGCTCCTGTGGAAAGGAGGGCGCTAGCTGATAGCAAGAAAGACTGCGTGGGGGGGTGGGGGGTGCGCATAGGGTTCAGGGCCAGAGCGGGGAGAAGGCCCTCCGTTCCTGGCTGAGCCACAGAGAGTGTCCACCTAGTCAGCCAGGAGACGCTGGAAGATGATCTGGGCCGTCACCCAGTGGGGAGGAGTCCGGTGGGCTCGGGTGGGTCTCTCGCTTCACCTCTTCCCTGTTCTCTCCGCCCCCCCTTCCCCAGGCTGGATGCACTCGGGGTACCCCATTATGTGCCACCTGGAGTCGGTGCAGGAGCTCACCAGCGAGACGTTCATCCGGACCAAGGGGCTGTGGGGCCCCGTGCACGAGCTGGGCCATAACCAGCAGCGGCCAGGCTGGGAGTTTCCCCCGCACACCACGGAGGCCACCTGCAACCTGTGGTCAGTCTACGTGCATGAGAGCGTGCTGGGCATCCCCAGGGCCCACGCCCACCCTGCGCTGAAGCCGTCGGAGCGAAAGAAGAGGATCGAGGCTCACCTGCGCATGGGCGCCCCTCTCAGCAACTGGAATGTGTGGACGGCCCTGGAGACCTACCTGCAGGTACTGGGTAGAGGAGGGCTGGGGCCCCACACCCCACAGCTGCGTAGCACCCACGGACCCCGCTTCCTCCTAACAACCCCCCCCACCAACACACACACACACATGTCTCTCGGGTTGTACTTCTCTAAAACCAAGGTGGTGCCACCGGCCCCACGTCTTCCTGATTCTGAGTAAGAAGAAACAGAGTCTGGTGAAAAAAGTAAGACTGACAGACATGGCCAAGGTCAAGAATGGCTCAGAGCCAGGGGCCCTCTGACTGCATGGCGGCCCCAGCCCGCACCCCCTGACATGTCCTTGTTCCCTGAATGGTCATGTCTGGTTGTTGTTGACTTCATCTACATCTGTTTGTCCTCCCCTCAGTCTTAGGAGTCCAGTGAGAGCCGCACCACGTCTTGGGAGCTGTGTTCCCGAGCGAGACGCTGGTTTACCGGGGGCATTTTCGGTGACCAGCCTGGTCGCGAGTCTCTCAAACTGCTAGTACCCCGAATGAGCGCATGGAGCAAGGAGCAGCTAGCCCAGTGGGAGGCGTTAAGGTCGTGAAGCAAGGCTATTGCCCTTCGCTGCTGTCGAGGCAGCCCCAGACCCAGAGCTGCAGACCCCATGCGTGACAGAGCAGAGCACAGTCCAGTCCAGCGTGCCCACAGTTGGAATCTACAGGATTCCTTGGCTGATTTTTGCAAAATCACTGTCGAGCTCCCTTCTCAGGTGGCTCTGGGTGGGCCTGAACCTCCCACCTTTGGTTAGCAGCCGAGCACCTGAACCATTGCACCAACAGGCACTTCAGGACC